TCACCTATTGTAGACCTGGGACTTTGGTAGATATTATGTATTGTATTTACAATAGTGTAGGAAATGGAAAGATTAATGTGTAAGTGTATTAAATGTATATAATTTGTTATTGTATTGGGACCAATTCTCTTCTCCTTCCTCAATTCCCAATCAAGAAATTATATATTTTTTAATACATTTACCATTTCCGTCCGACAATTTCGTCTCCCGACGAGATCTCGCGAAAGATTTTATTTTCCGATTCCCCGACTATGAATTTTCGCGCCGGGGAGCTGCGTTCTGCGTTCGCGTCGCAAATTCACTTACGCCGAGGCGCGAAGAGTTGTCGCGTCCCAAATGTTGTTAACGCTGTCCGGCGGTGGAGGCCAATTAGAGCGGTTTTACGTCATTAATCATAACGTGGCTCGAGTTCAAGGTGGCCCCCGCCAGATTAATCGTAGGCGTGGTACGTGCGATTTCCAAATCCAATTGTCCGGCCCGTCTCTGGACGTATCGCGAGCGCACGGGTTCCTTATGTAAATGCGCTCTCTCCCTCCGAACCTTGAAGTAAATCGTCGCCGCCGCCGCCGCCGCCGCCGCCGTCGCGGAATCAAGGGAAATTGATTCCGCTGTCGCGCCGGAGCTCGTTCTCGCACGAGCTCCAAGTTTTAAACATTTTTATACATATAGTGGCCTTCTCTCGTACTACTTTTTTTACAATAGAAATCGAGTCGACTTTTCCTGGTGAGGAAGAGTCTTAATTCTTTCATTAAACGTAAATTTTTTGACGAAGCAAACGAGAAGAAACATGAATAGCAAAGATTTGCTAGTGGACTCGAACAGAAATTTCATTAAAAATTTCGCTCTTCCCTGCTTTCGTTTTATAAAAGCATAAAAAAGAATTGTGATAACTAATACTTTTTTATATTTTTGCTAAGAAAAGGCATTGTCAGTTTCGTTTTGCATCGATACGCTTTATTACAAATACACAGGGAAAATGTTCTCTTAAAATTTACCCTGAAAATCATATAGTTGTGTGACAACATGGCATTTTTAAGACTTATGAGTTTTTTAAAGTTACCTTACATTCTAGTAAAATGTATGATGAAATTTCCAAAAATTCTTATACAATTCTTCGATGTGCCTTGTTGTTCTACGATTACATGATTTTCAGAGTAAATTTAAAAAAATTCTCCCGTTTACTTTTTTAACACACACATTTCTCTTTCTTTTCAGACTAACTCCGAAATGTCCGGGGAACAACCTCGTGCTAATTAACGTAAGGGGAACCTGGTACAATAGGACAGCATTGATGAGGCACCGCAGATGTCTTTCGACAATTTTCGCCTAAAGGCTATGCTTAGGCAACTACGTGTATCAGCGCGTATCCCAGGTAAGACGCATGCTTCGTCAGTGATATACGACTCAGATGATATCAGGACGTTATAGTCGCGGTATTTGCCAGATGTTGTAGACCCGTGAGGCAACAAATGGCGTCCATAGAAAAAAATGACATGCAACTAACTAACAAGCGAATCTGCATGGATTTTGCGATACGCTTATTTGAAACTAACATTGCACGATACTTATCGTCCTCTCTAACTCTCAAAAAAAAACTCTTCGAAATGCCCTGTTGTCCCACGATTACATGACTTTCAGGGTAAATTTAAAAAAGAACTTCTCTTCGTGTAGTGTCGTAAATCATAGATTGGACCAATCAGCGTTGAATTGGAACCAGTCTACAGACCTGTGGCCACGATGCTAGAACTGGACCAAGACTTAAGACTCTTGCGACACTGCATCGGCGATTAAGCCTTGTGTCCACGACGCTAGAACTTGGTCCAAGTTCCAGTTCCGAGAAATGTATAGCCAATCAACTTGTAGCTTTTATGGAATAGCTGCATGTTGATTGGCTACTTATTTCTCGAAACTAGAACTTGGACCAAGTTCTAGCATCGTGGACACAGGCCTTAAGATCTAAGCGTTGCGACACTACGATATGACCGCTGTAAAACCGGCCTCAGACTAACGACTCGCGACCACGATTGCGATTGCATCGGCGATCAAGCCTTGTGTCCACGATGCTACAACTTGGACCAAGTTCTAGCCATGGTGTAAGAATGTGTATTCCCGGTTCTAGCATCGTGGGCACGGGCCTCAACGATTGGCTATTTCAAATTTTAACGGCTGCGTGGTCAATCATAATCGCGTGTGCAATCGCAATCGCAGTCGCGAGTCGCTAGTGTGATACGGGCATAACGCCGGGAATAAATAATCGTCAGATTCCGACGAAGCCACGAAGGATTTTGATCCTTCCGCGAAAGTTCCCGGGTCCGAACGTTTCTGCAGGGTCCGTCGATTTTTCTCGGATTC